CCATAGCACTTGTGGCAGGATGGTCTGGAACTTGCCTACATCTCTCACTTCTACCCATCTCCTCCTCACCCATGGTCAGAGATGAAACCTGGAGATTGACTTGGTCATGATCCACATATGAAAGTCAATGTGAGGACATTTTTTAAGGTGCTCCAGGGAAAAAGGGAGGCACATGTACTCTTAGCATAATAAGGCCAAGGTTATTATTTCATAAGAAATAGAGTCAAAGTAATACTTACAGGAGGAATAAAATTGACTCACATATACCAGACAAGGAGGCTTTCAAAAAGAAAATAATCCTCATGGTGATAGCTGTATTTGAATTCAAATGCTTATGAGAAAAGCAGCCACAGCCTGAAATAGAAATCTCACTGTTGCTTCTCACTACACCCACCCCCCAACAATACATGAAACCGGAATCCACCTTTCCCTTGACCTACCCCTGAATGCTCATCCCACTAAGGGCACTGACAGATACTAATATCAGAGCTCGCTCCAATTCCTTGCCAGAACCAGAATAAATTGAGCAAGAAGAATCATAAACATTCAGAAATGGCCAACATTGAGGAATTTTCAATATACAAGAAAGGACTTAGGACTTTAAGATTTAGAAGGGAGGGATGGAGTGTTAGATGGGCAGTAGAGGCCTTGGAGAAAAAGAGCTATAAGGGTTATATTAATTCATTCATTTGACAAATATTTATTGAATGCATACATCATGCATCTAATTCTCACAACTCCTTGAGCCGGGTTTCTTAGCATGAAATTAATAAGGCTTCATAGGGACTAGGAACTTTTGAAATACTAGGCAAAATTTCTGAGTATGTATATTTTTCTGGTGAGACAGTCCACATATTTCATCAGAATTTCATAGAACTCTATCGTTTTTTGTTTATCATGGAATGAATATACAAAATCAAGAATTCCAAGTTGTAGTCTTTGTTTTCAAGGTATTTACAATCTTGTTGAGCAGATGAAGCAAGTATAAAGCTAATTAAGGCAGAATATTGTAATCAATTAATGAATAGTAAAGATAATCGATATCTTAGAACCTCCATGAAGAGAGATCATGTGTCTCAGGGTGATTAGGAAAAATTTTAGGGAAGAGGTGAGACTTAACCTGGGTCTTTTAAACTGCGTAGAAATTGTCCAGGTAGACAGGAAGGAGAGAGGCATTCCAAATAGATAAAATTATGCTAATAAGTCTTTGAAGTAAGGACAATCATAAGATGTCATAGTGACAACAAATAGACCAGTCTGGTTTGAACATGGTTGGCTTTGGGAGTGTCATGGGGGCCAGAGTTTAAAAGGTGGATTGTCTCCAGAATGCAGAGGGCCTTAAATTCCAAACTAAAGACCTTAGACTTTATCTTGCAGAAAATGCCACACATTTTTTTTTTTTTTTGTGAGGAAGATCAGCCCTGAGCTAACATCCATGCTAATCCTCCTCTTTTTGCTGAGGAAGACTGGCTCTGAGCTAACATCTATTGCCAATCCCCCTCCTTTTTTTTTTTCCCCCAAAGCCCCAGTAGATAGTTGTATGTCATAGTTGCACATCCTTCTAGTTGCTGTATGTGGGACGCGGCCTCAGCATGGCGGGAGAAGTGGTGCGTTGGTGCGCGCCCGGGATCCAAACCCGGCCACCAGTAGCGGAGCGCGCGCACTTAACCGCTAACCCACGGGGTCAGCCCCACACAATTTTTTAAGGGGAGTAATGACAAATAGAAATCAGCTTTTAAAAAGTTTTTGTAATTTGAGTGCTTGCCATGGATGTTCTGAGAGTTCAGAAAATGATAACCTACTCAGAAATCTACCTTTTGGGTTAGTTTCAGATTACTGCATGTGACTACAATAAGCTCTTTACTAACAAGGGAAACGTGATTATTACATATTACATAGATTATAATCTTCAGCAAATTACAGTTCCAATACACTTACTGAACAAACTAGTAATTACTATGGCTCAATGAAAATATTAGCAATGTGTAATTAGTGCAGAGGATGGAGCAGAGATGGATTCATATTTAACTAATGGCCACTGAATTTTTCAGTGGAACCAAGATCCAGGACTTCATTTTCTCCTCCAAAAAGAATGGGAGTAATTAAATGCATATATGAAGTTCATAAATCGAAGGGGCAATGATCTTTGGTAGTAATAGGGTCACAGAAAATGGGGTATGTTTAGGGTCTTCTCCCTCAATGAATAAACCTGGCAAGATAGGAAGGCGCTCTGGAGAGGAATTTGGGAGACAAATGGGGGGAGGTTTAGATCTGATTGGCTAGAAAGGAAAAGTCTTTGAAGCTGGAACTAGGCTCTGATGATCACCTTTATCAGTTAATTCTGTTCCCTGTTTTCTGTTAGTTAAATGTAGAAGTTGAGGTGAGGGATTATTTGAGTTTCTTGGAAAGTTTCAGTTGGATAAACTGAATGTTAGCTTTAAATTAATTTTTTTCTAGTCCTGGGAATAACGTTGGTGATAGCTATTCCAGCCTCATAGTTTGAAATATGAAACAACAGAGGCCCAGAAAGCTTCAGTGGCTTGCACGAGGACATACAGATAGTAAAGTGAAGAAACAGGCCCAAATGACTACTTCACCACTGTATGCATATTTCCTAGACTGCCTTGCACATAGCAGGAGCTCAATAAATATTTGCTGAATGAAAGAACCCCAGGCTTCTGATTCCTTGTGGTATTTTTTCCACTGCACAATAAAAACTATGGCAGATTGAAGTAAAAAAAGAGTGTCTTTGAGCAAACAGGATCTGTTTGTACAATGTCAAAGGATAAAGATCATCACAGTACAGATAGGGTTCCCTAGCAACATAACCTCACCTTACATGGTGTATTAGTTCACTAGGGCTATCATAACAAAGTGCCACAAAAAGGGTGGCTTAATCAACAGAAATTTATTTTCTCACAGTTCTGGAAGCTAGAAGTCTAAGATCAAGGTGTCTGTAGAGTTTGTTTCTTCGGAGGGCCGCGAAGAAGGATCTGTTCCAGGCCTCTATCTTTGACTTGTACATGGCCATCTTCTTCCTTTGTCTTCACATTATCTTCCCTCTGTCTGTGTCTGTGTCCAAATTTCCACTTATAAGGACACCATTTATATTGGATTAAGGCCCACCTAATGACCTCATTTTAATTACCTATTTAAATACTATATCTCCAAGTACGGCTATATTCTCTAAGGTACTGAGGGTTAGGACTTCGACATACAAATCTTTAGGGGAACACAATTCAGCCCCTAACACATGGAGATCAGCTTTTCCATCACAGAGCATATTAAACTCTCAACCTCATTCCCCAGCAGCAGCCAAGGTGTTGGTAACAAAGCTCCCAGTTTACAGTTAAGCAGCCAATTGCCCAACAGCATCAAAGTTCTGCCCATGCATGTACATTATCCAGGTGGAGCAGGATTGGCCTGTTGGCAGGTTCTCCTGCCAGCATGCTAAAAGAAGAGCCATAGGGCATGGGCTAGTTGACACATTTTTTTTTTTTTAACTACATGTTATTATAACCGTGATGAAACAATACTTTCTTCTTTGGAAATTGGCTCTTTCTTCATCTTGTAAAATGCTACAAGAATTCTGAAGGGCTTTGATTGTTTTTACTATAATTATTATTGTTGAACCGTAGCTTGGCTGATGAGCGTATATTTCAGGAGTATCCTGGGGCTGGCATTTATAAGGAGGCTCTGAAATGATTGCCCATTGAGATGGGGAAAGCCACTTAGGCTCTTCTAGGGTTTCTGTGAAGATCTTTAAGTAAGGAAAACATACACTTATTTTAGGAGAAAAATAGTTTTGCAGTTAAAAATCATTTGAAAGAGATGAAGTTCCAAAGTAGTGGCAGGGGATTCCCAGGTTCTGTCTTTGGTGGGCATCTGCTATTTGAGTTAAAGTGAGAGGGAGTCTGGTGCTCCTTGCAGAAAATGCCACCTTACTCTATCAGAATACTTAGGAGCCACAGGCTTAGCTTTCTTGTCTCCACGATTGACAAAAATGTTTAGTTTCTATAACTTAGGACATATTCTCATCCATGACCCTCACAATTAGAAATGATGCTATTCTGGGGGCCTGCCCCGTGGCTTAGTGATTAAGTGCATGCACTCCGCTACTGGTGGCCCGGGTTCGGATCCCAGGCGTGCACCGACTCACCGCTTGTCCGGCCATGCTGAGGCAGCATCCCATATACAGCAACTAGAGGGATGTGCAACTATGCATACAAGTATCTACTGGGGCTTTGGGGAGAAAAAGGAGGAGGATCGGCAATAGATGTTAGCTCAGGGCTGGTCTTCCTCAGCAAAAAAGAGGAGGATTGGCATGGATGTTAGCTCAGGGCTGACCTTCCTCAAAAAAAAAAAAAAAAAAAAAAAAAAGAAATGATGCTATTCTGGATTGGGGCCTTTTTGGATTTATACCTAGTTACCAAGGTGGGAATACTAAATGTAGACTCCAGCAGGTGGCACAGGGGTGTTTGCATCATTAGATGATAATTTGATACTTTTGTCCTGATTACTATTAAGCACCTTCTAAGTCACCTCATGGATTGTGTTGCTGAAATCAACAGGTCATCTATAACTCCCATAATGCTGAGCTGAACTTTCAGGCCATTTCCTACTATTGGCTCATCAGACATCAATGACCAAGAAGATGCTATGTTCTCAGAAGGAAATATTAACAAACAAATATTAACAAACTGGGAGCACCATTATTTGTCATGACCAGTGAGTCACTGCGAGAAAGGGAACAGAAAGCTGCGAGGTCAAGAATAAAAACACTTGGAAAGAGAATCCTAGCTTGGGGATGGAAATAATATAGAGCTCACCCTAACAGGGAAAAGTGGTTGGGAAAAATAGAGGGAATTTTTTTCCTTTTTCATATTTAGACATAGACAATAGTAACCAAATATCCTTAAGTGATTGGGAACTTACGTCAGTTTGCAGACCATTAGATCTTGAGTTATGATTTGAGGCATAAAACAGACAAAAATAATTGCTTGCCAAACATTTATTATTAATTTTTTACACAGTCCAATTATTTCAACAAGAATGTCTCCAAGGTAGTATCAATAGGCCTCAAAGGATTGTGGGCTGATTGGTCTTATCAAAGGGCTTCTAGGAACTTGCCCCTCTGTTCACAAATTTTTCCTTTCCCTCCCCCAAAATGCTCTCTGTGATCTCTTAGCAGCCCCAGAGCAAGACAGATGTTTACAGGATTCTGAGCAGGTTCCCTCTCAGCTAAAATTAACAAAGGTAGTAATATTCTTAAACTCATCAAAGACTGGGGGGGAGAGAACTGAGCACTACAGACTACAGCACACACAGTTTTAAAATTTGAGCTCTGGAGTTGTTTGAAAAACATCTTGCTGTTGCTGCATGAGATTTTATGTGTTTATGGAATTAAGTATAAAAAAATCTAATTCAAGTTCTAAATCTTCAAGCTAAACCTTATTCTTAACAGATATTTCTTCCAGTTATGGGCTGATTTCACAGGAGTTTTTCTGTAGAAGTCACTCCCCCTGCACTATTCAAGGGTTGTTGTAAAAATTCAGTTCCCTCTAGAATCTTTAATAATTATGCCACAAAAGATGAGAGGCTATTTGGAGGTAAATATTAAGGCAATTTAGGCCCAAGAAGAAATATCTACTTGTACATTAAAAATATCTTAATTCTCCACAAGATGGATCAACCATTGAAAAAATGCACAATTCTTTTGAATCTCAGATCGTCATATTATTCTTTTTATTTCTGAAAGCAATAAATTAACATGTTCCCCAAACAAAACTCCTTAAACAAATTAAATGATTTATATGTTTTTCAAAATGCACACCACATCTGCACCAAAGAGTAAAGACATCCTGCGGTAAAGAACCACTTGAGGAAGAATAAAAGGCACGAATACAAAGTACAACACAGTGTAGTTTAAGATTTTGGAAAGAAGACATTCTAAAATCAGAGAGTTTTCCCACAACCAGAAACATTTGAGTCATTTGATACCCAGTGTTTCTCATTTTCCTTTGCTAGAAGCTTTGGCAGGTGTCGGGATATTGGCAGCAGCTCTTAAGGGCGGTACTGCGATCTCTGCTCTTGGATGTACTCATAGAGGGGGCTGGAGCGCACCGGGACACTGGCAAACGGTCGCTTGCCGGGCTCCAGAACCTGCCGACGACCCTTGTCTGCCTCCCAGTTCTGCGGCACTTCGCGCTCTTGGCGGCGCCTCTGCTCCTCCTCCTGCTGGCGGCGGAGCTGTTCTTCTTCCCGGAATTTCCTCTCCCGCTCCTGGCGGCGTCTCCGCCCTTCTTGCCCCAGTTCTTGATCCTGACGGCGCCTCTTCTCCTCCCTGGCAAACTGCTCCTCCGCCCGGTACTGCTGCTCTCGCTGCTGCCGGCGTCTCAGCTCTTCCTGCTCCTCGCGCTGCAGCAGCTCTTCTTCCTCGAGGAACTTCCTGTCCTGCTCCTGGCGGCGGCGCTTTTCTTCCTCTCGCTCCTGCTGGAGGCTCTGCTCTTCCTCTGGGAACTTCCAGTCTGCCAGCCACTGGCGTCTCTGTTCTTCCTCTTGCTTTGCACGTCTCAGTTGTTCCTCTTGGGAGAAGGCACTGTCTAGTTTCCGGCGGCGCAGCTGCTGTTCCTCCTCGCGGAACTTTCTGTCGCGCTCCTGACGAAGCTGTTGTTCGCGCTCCTGGCGGCGCAGCTGCTCTTCTTCCCTTTCCTGCAGGAGCTGTTCCTCCTCACGGAACTTGCTGTCGCGCTCCTGGCGAAGCTGTTGCTCGCTCTCCTGGCGGCGCAGCTGCTCTTCCCTGTCCTGCAGGAGCTGGAGCTGTTCCTCCTCGCGGAATTTTATGTCGCGCTCCTGACGAAGCTGCTCTTCCCTTTCCTGCAGGAGCTGTTCCTCCTCGCGGAATTTT